TAAGAGGCTTGCTTGAGCAAATTGATCCTTCGAAACCCCTACCCGAAATCGAGGTTGACAATCATGCTCATCTGCCCTAATTGCTCAGTTCCTTCTTGATGAGGGTCATACTGTCCAGTTCTTAGGTGGAGATCTCTCTTCTCAGTCCATTAGGCTAGTCGAGTTACAATATACCATTGGTTGACTTTATCACAATTAACAAGCATCCAATGGGCTTTAGGTTCTTCTGGGAGTCCCAATCCAAGGGTATCTGTCTAGGGAAGATTAAGGATACAAACTTTGTCAAATGTGAGATCCCAGCTTTGTGCCATATTTTCAAGGTGAGAGAGACGTGTTATGCCGAGGTTGCTCTCAAACTTTTGCAGTGCCACTCTTGTCCGTCCTTGATCAAGGGTTCATTTTTTCACTTTTAATGTGATGAGGATGTACCCCGCCCTTCTACAGTGCTTAAGGCTTCCTGCTATACGTTGTACTTGCCATGGCACAGGGGGTACTGTTGCGACACTTTACTATGAGCTCTTTGAGTTTTGGATGGAATTTCATCGTTAAGATCCTCAAATTCTCCTTTTTGACATTTTAAGAAAGATCGTCAGTTTTGTTATATTTACATTGATTAGTTAGATTTCAATATTTTTTTTGACAAAATTGGTATAATTAAGAATTTTGCTACCATTATAGGAGCAATTAGGGTTTTGGTCGTTCGTATAGCTATCACTCTTTGTTACTACAAATTGGTAAGGCAATAATATTCTATTTTCAGAGTGCTGCTCTTATTTTCTCTCTAGATTCAAAGTATTTTTGTTCTTTGCACTTAGGAACAGTGATTTCTTTATGTTTTACATTACTGCTACTTCAAAATCATTTATGGACCTTTTTTTATACAATACATTTTATAATTACGCAACCAACTCCAAAAATATATAGTATAATACGAATCCAAGAATTGTGCTGTCAGTATGCCACTTACCAAACAAATAAGAAAAATATTATTTGTATCAAACAACCAGAGTTGAATGATGTCCCAAAATAAGTCTGTACAAAGTGAGTCTTATCTAACGTTGAGACTCACAATTGATGTAATACAATAATAAATTAGCTCGCTATATTTGGTTCAAGAAACACTGCTCAACCATTAAATCTCTAGTAGCCCATTGCCAAACAAAATAATTTCTAAAGAATATCAGCTGGTGGATATTTGTGAAATTATTGAATACATTCTCAATTATTGGTGGTCAAAGAGTAGAATAAAATGTTTACCAACTCTTTCTTTCCTTTTTCTCTTTTTTCATTTTTTATTTTTATGACAAGGATGCATGTTAGAATCTCAACTTATGTATGCAAAACGCATAGTGAGGAACTACCCAAGACCATCGAAAATCAAAATACAAAATAAGAACACTAATTGAAGTAAAATTTCTCAAACCCCCACTTCAAAAAATTAATCGCTGTTTTTTTTGTAAAAAATTGTCGTTTTTTTTTTTTTTTTTTTTTTTGGGGGCCCCCCTCTGTCCCTTTGAAAAATGGTGGTCAAAG